TTGCCCAGGGCAGGGGGTGGCACTGGGGGGGCTTTGAGGTCCCTTCCCACCCAAACCATTCTATGATTCCATAATTCTAAAATTCTATGATTCTATGAATTTTGCAGCTGGAATACAAGCAGCAGGAGGGTCGCTTGCCCTCTGTAGACCACTTCTGAGTGGGTTTGAGATGCTTTTTGGGCCACCCCAGCTCACTCAGCTGCTCTGGAAGAGGTAGGCACCTACGCAAGGACAACACGGCACAGCAGAACCGACGGTGTCTGCACCAAACCTCCCCCTAAATCCTCAGCTGCCTTTCATTTGCCAGAGATATGAAGACAAGATTCGCAACTCAAAGAGTAATTAGCAATCTAAATTACACACCCTCAGTCATTCCTGGCCCCGGTTAAACCGGAGCGACGCGTATTTAGATGCGGCATCGCTGCAGGCGGGTCTCTGGAAATGATGCTTTCTGAGAAAGCTCCCTGGGCCACTTGCTCCCAGCTGGCCAGGCTCTTCTTCAGCATTTCTGGAAGCCACACCACGGAGGAGTATTTTTGCATAGGGTTGAGCTTCCCAGCTCTCTCTGCCAGCTCGAGACTGGGAACTACAGCTCCTGCCAGGTCCTTTCTTCTCTGAAGAAAGAGATACCTGGATAACCTGGAATGCTGCTTTTAAATATTCATAGTATCATAGAATGGTTTGGGTTTGGAAGGGACCTTCAAGATCATCCAGTCCCCTCCCTGATCAAGAGTCCCTCCCCAGCCTTTCTGGAGCCCCTTTAGGGACTGGAAGGGGCTCCAAGGTCTCCCCGGAGCCTTCTCTTCTCCAGGTTGCCGTGTTGTCACCCACTGCCTGATCTAACCCCACCACTTGCTCACAGAAGACCTCTTGGACCAAGAAGCCTCCTGAACTCCAGCCTCTCTGCGCTGCACACACGAAACACGTGTCCCGGTAGGAAGGCGAGAGAGCAGGTAGTTTCCATTTCCATCTTTGTCTCTGTTCCCATAGAAACTAAACTAAAATGGAGACGGCAAAAGAAAATTAAAGCTTCAATAAAGGAATCCACTAGGAAACGGCACGTGAGCGGGTGTGGGGAATTGCTGGTGGATAAAGGAGGAGAGAAAAAAGCAACAAAAAAGAAGGCCGTTGCAAGAAGAATGAATTCAAATACAAGGGGCGTTCCCAAACTAAAGCCTTTCCCATTCGAGGATAAAACTGAATGAATAAACTACATGAATAAACTATGTCAAACATCAGAAAAAACAAAGCTTGAAGGTGTCGCGGGTGAAACGAACCATAACGAGGTGGTATCTGGTCATGGGTTTCGTGGTGAGACGGTGCCGAGGGTGAGCCAGGACCCCAGAGGAACCCCAAAGAGCTCTCAGGTGCCACCTTCCCTTATCCCAAACGTCGGGAATTACTGGGAAGGAACAAACAGGACAGAGACCACATCGTCAGGCAAGTCCGCCAAGAAGTGGTCGTGTCTTGTGTGTTTGTGCCATCGCAGTCCTTTAAAATAAAAAATATATTAAAATGTCTATCTGCTAGATCTAGGAAAGGGGTAGCCAGGATGTGTAAAAGTCCCAAAGAAACATAAAACTCAGCCAAAGACCGTTTGAGATGGGCAGAGACATCGCTGAAAATCCAGTTGCACATTATACCTAAAAAGTAACGCAGAGAAGAAGACTAGGAAATGATTACTCATGTTTTTTGGTGGTTTTTTTTTTCTTTTTTTCCCAGGATGCCTTTTATTGGTCGCCCTGGAGTTATCGGGCTCTAGGTTTAAAAGGCAAGGAAAAGGAAATGACTTTTCATAGCACGTAATTAAGCCGCAGAATGTATTCAGCGACGCAGCCAAAACCCATAAATAGGTTCAAAGGAGAATTAGCCAAGTTCAAGGAGGACAAGCCCATGGGTAGCTACTAAAGAGGCCATTCCAAGGTCAGGAAATCCCCAGAAGAAGGTACCGGGGTGGGGATGGGGTGGGTTGGAGGTGGGGGGGGAAGGATCACCCTGCTCTTCCCAGGTATTTTTCCCCTTTCCAGGGAAATCTTTGCCGTTGCAGCGATGACTTTGGCACCATCATGTCCCTCCCGGCCCAGAGGACACGGGGATAAGACACCAGATGAAGAAAAAACCCAACCCCCAGCAGCTTCAAAGGAGGCTTCGGAAAGAGGATAGGACGGATCCGATTTCTTTCCCTTCTTATCGGAGCAAGTTCGGCCGCTTTCTGGAGCACGGCGATGCTCCCAATCCCAACTTCACACATCTCCTTTAAACTCCAAAAAAAATATTAAATAAATATATAGACATACACATTAAAAAAAAAAAAATAAAAAAAAATTAAAGAGGCTCGAAAGCTGCCAGAAGGCAGATAACGCGAACGGGGCAGAGATGAATCAAGTGTCTGCATGAAAGCAGCAAAATTCGCCGGGGTTGACCTCGAGCTTCTCAAAAGTAGCTCAAGCATTTTAGCCGGAGGCTTTTGTGATCCTGGATCTCTCCCTACCCCGATTAAATAACTTCTCTTTTTTTTCTTTTTCGCTTCTCGGCTTGTTTCAACCAAGTCGGAGAGGTCAAGGTCTCAAAGATATCAGCCTCCAAGAAGTTTTGCTTTAAAGGAAAGAGGATGGCTGAGGACAGAAGGACACAAATTGTCTCCTTGCTGAGGACCAGGGAGTTGGAGTGGGGAGAAGGAGCAGAGATGTCCCTGCCCATGGCAGGGAGGTTGCACTAGATGATCTTTAAGGTTTCCTTCAACCTAAACCATTCCATGATTCACCATAGACCCCCACTGATCCACCCAAAAGATCCACCAGCCCAGTAGAAGGACTTAAACCATTCCATGATTCACCACAGACCCCCACTGAACAACCAAAAGATCCACCAGCCCAGTAGAAGGACTTTATGATCCATTTTTGGTGGTTTTTTTTTGTTTTTGGACAAGCATCCTTTTTTTTTTGGTGGTTTTTTTTTTTAAATATCTAAGACCACATGGGCTTCCAGCCATACCAGATCCAAACCAGTGCATCCAAACCACGTCTTTCCAGCCAGACCAACTGTCAAGAGACCTTACGTTGACTTGTCTTATGCCTTAGCCACCTGGAGATGCTCCAGCACTGGGGTTTTGGGGGGCAGTTTTGGGACAAGGCTGGTTGGTTTCCCATGGTGGCTCTCGCCCAACCTCTGAGGTGGGACCGAGGTGGGTTCTGGGTGAAGCTGCATCTCCTCAACCCAAGGGAGCAGATGGTTTCCACCTTGAAGCTGGATCGTTTTGGACGGTGGCTTCATCTGTGCTGGCACTGGAAGAACACGCCATATGTGTCTCCCCAAATCAGGTCTAGACATTGGTACAACTTCAGTGTCAGTGTTGTATTCACAAACCCAACATTTTCAGTGCTGAAGTTTCTCAAAAATCAGACTGAAGATTACCCGAGCGCTGGGACTTGCCAACGCTGACTCCAATCCTTCTTAAAAATTCAAACCGTAAATATAAATCTTATTTTCCTTTTCCAATCCCAATCTTCAGACGGAAGATGATTAATGTGTTATTAATAGCAATAATCTCTTTGCAATATTGCAAGTGTGAAACAGCGAGGGGAACGCTTTGAACTTCAAGCCGTTTGCCAAAAGCCTATAAACAAGCACCAACCTGTAGCAAATTCAAGAAAAACCAGGACTGATCGGAATCGAAGGCAGAAATGTAACCCCCCCCGCCAAATATTTCTGCAAAAAGGAATCCTGCAAATCTCAAGAGCCTCCATTTCCATCCCAAGATGGTGAAAACAACCTCTATATCAAATACTGCAAAGCCGAGCTCCTGGCCAACAAAGTCTATAAAAATATTGGCAAGTACGTTATTACCTTTTTTTTTTTCTTTTTTTTCCCCCCCAAAAAAGGGCTTGCTGCCCTGGCACAGACTCGTGTGGGCAGAGCCAACGCAGAGCCAGGTCCTTCCTGCACCTCAGCTCGATATTTGTTTTTTTCTTACCTATTTTTGCCCGATTTGCTACACTTTGATGCTTTCTACGGGCTCCAAAGCTAAAGTTGGGACGTCCCTTGTTTGTGATGGTTTGATCCTGGGGGGTGCAATAACCCTGGCCCTGGGTAATTTTTTCACCTTGCAAGATCTGCTGCACTAGAAGTTGTTTTTTAAAGAGGGGGAAAAAAACCCACAAACAACCCCAAAACCTTCTTCAGGACTAATAGGAAGGGACAAGATCCATCTGGATGGAGGATTGAGATAAGGAGGAAATGTTTTACGCTGAGGGAAAGGATGGGGAGGGACTCTTGAATAGGAAGGGGAGCCATAGGAGGAGGGGGAAGGGTTTTAAGGTGAAAAAGGGGAGATTGAGGTGAGATCTGGGGAGGAAATTCTTCCCCCTGAGGGTGGTGAGAGGTTGCCCAGAGAAGCTGTGGCTGCCCCATCCCTGGAGGGGTTCAAGGCCAAGGTTGGAGGGGGCTTGGAGCAACCTGGTCTGGTGGGAGGTGTCCCTGCCCAGGGCAGGGGGGTAGACTTGGTGGCCTTTAAATGTCCCTTCCCACCCAAACCATTCCGTGATTCCATGACCAATATCCCTGAGCTCTATAGGCAGGAGGATCAGCATCCCTGGGGGGGACGGGGGGGTGGCTGATCATATTTAAGGCAAAAAAAGCCGAGTTAGGGGCCGAGCTCTTGCCTGGCAGCTGGGCAGACATTCCAGCACGGACGGTCGCAGCTGCTGCTCGATCCCAACCCTCCTCCCCTCCTCTTGAAAACACCCTTTCCTGGAACTTTTATTTTTTATTTTTTTTTTTAACTCCTTGACTAAGAAAAACGTTGTTTCGATGCAGCTGCAATTTCGATTTGACCCACTCCTGAAGGGCACAGATTTCACTTAACACTTTAAAACTAAACAAGATAAAGCCTGGATGGAAAAAAGCCCAAGTGGGGAGGGGGACAGCAAGCCCAAGGGACGTGTCTTACACCGGTGACGAGGTGACAGACCTTTAATGAGCAGGAAATTTATGACCACGACCTGCCTGGTATCTCAAAGGTGTCGCAGGGCTGGTCCCCCAAGTCATCGAGGTCTAAAGGCAAGAGGAAAAGGACAAAAATCCCACCAACCCAGTAAAACTTCCCATTTCTTCTCTAATTCAAGCGGTACCAGAGCGGAGGAGGTTAATACCCATGTCCAGATTTAACGTTAAAGCCATTTATAGCCCAGGATTCTAGTCCTGTAAATACACACCCTGAAATATTTAGCTTCCAGCTGTGGCACACCGGGTTGTGTCCCCCCCGCCCGTCCCCCCCCCCAGGGTGCCAAATTTATCCTTTCCCAAGAATTCCCCCGCCAAACACCGCCGGGAGGAGAAGGAGAATATTTGATAACGGCGGAGAAGGAGGGAAAATAATCCCCAATAAAACTCCTTTTATCTTCAGCGCTCACTGGGTGTCCGGAAAAGGTTGTTTTTCAGAGATTTGTTAAACTTAACGGCGAGAGGTGGGGAAAGCTGAGCCTTGAAAGCCTTGAAACCCTGGGCTTTTTGAACTCCCAAATATTTAAGAAAGTGGAGGTCTGCGAAAGACGGGCTCGGGGAGGAGGAGGAGGAGGAGGAGGAAGGGGGGGAAACGATGAACACCCGATCTGACATAGAGGGAAAACTATGTGTCCTCCCCGAGGACTTGCCAGAGCGAGATTAAACGTTGGCACAAGCTCCTCTGGGGTCCAGCAAATACCGAGCAGGGTCTTCGGGGGTGTTTTTGCAGAAGGACCTTGGCCGAACTCGGGCGCCCGAGCTCGGGCAGCTGCTGGTGAGCAGGTGATTGGCCCCGTTTTGAGGCCAAAAGCGGCCACCTGTCCCCAGTCTTGACATCATTTTGATTCCCCATCGCGGCTGGGCTGGGGACAAGGGGAGGAACCCAGGAGGAGGAGGAGGAGGAGAATGAGGAGGAGGAGGAGGGACGGCGATCTTGGGATTACTCACACCAAGCAGGACTGCAGAAAGCCCGGGGATGAAAACAAACCATCCTTGTTTCCCCGAGAAGTCAAACTCCATTTAACCCCTCCAGGGATGGGGCAGCCACAGCTTCTCTGGGCAACCTGGGCCAGGCTCTCACCACCCTCACAACAAAGAATTTCCTCCCCAGATCTCACCTCAATCTCCCCCCTTTCAGCCTAAAACCCTTCCCCCTCGTCCTATGGCTTCCCTCCCTCATCAAGAGTCCGTCCCCAGCTTTCCTGGAGCCCCTTGAGGGACTGGAAGGGGCTCTGAGGTCTCCCCGGAGCCTTCTCTTCAATTTAACTGTTGCGGTCACCACCTGCCATAAACACAGAGTTTGACCCTAAAAAATCATGGAGTCATGGAATGGTTTGGGTGGGAAGAGACCTTTAAAGGCAATCGAGTCCACCCCCCACCACGGGCAGGGTCACCTCCCACCACACCAGGTTGCTCCAAGCCCCCTCCAACCTGGCCTTGAACCCCTCCAGGGATGGGGCAACCACAGCTTCTCTGGGCAACCTGGGCCAGGCTCTCACCACCCTCCCAGGAAAGAAGTTCTTCCCAGGGATGACGGGAGCAATTAGAGGCTGTAAGACAAGATGACCTTTCAGAGTAACGAGGGGGAGATTACGAGCGAGAACGGATGACGGGAGCAATTAGAAGCTGTAAGACAAGATGACCTTTCGGAGTAACGAGGGGGAGATTACGAGCGAGAACCTGCTGCCACCTCCATATCAGATAACCTCCGGGTCCTCTCCTGATAGGAAGAAAACATCAGGACGCAGCACTCCCCCTCTTCCCGACAGCCACGCGGGGATATTTATAGGACGAGGAGATAACGTGAAGAGCTCGTTGCTTCCAAGCACCGAGATGGCAGCCCCAGACAACAAATCTCATTTAGCAGAAGAACCTCCTCCCAAGGAGAGCAGCAGGGAGAAGCTTGCTGCATGATGACTGACCCGGCAAAAAATCCACCCCCCCATCCTTTGCAGAAAGGCAGGAGTTCTTTTACAACCGTGAACTGGATCTGTTGCCCAAGTTGGAGTTGGCCAAGACCCTTCCCTACCCTCCACGCACCGTATTTCACTACCAAAATCATTGATTTGGGTGGGAAAGGACCTTAAAAGCCATCGTGTCCAACCCCCTGCTCTGGACAGGGACACCTTTAATGAGACCAGGTTGCTCTGAGTTCTGTCCAACCTGGTCTTGAACCCCTCCAAGGATGGGGCAGCCACAGCTTCTCGGGGCAACCTGGGCCAGGCTCTCACCACCCTCAGGGAGAAGAATTTCTTCCTAAAATCTCATCTCAATCTCCACTTTTTCACCTTAAAACCCTTCCCCCTCCTCCTATGGCTCCCTGCCATGATCCAGAGTCCCTTCCCAGCTTTCCTGGAGCCCCTTGAGGGACTGGAAGGGGCTCCAAGGTCCCCCTGGAGCCTTCTCTTCTCCAGGCTGAACCCCCCCAATTCTCTCAGCCTGTCCTCCCAGTAGAGGGGCTCCAGCCCTCCCAGCATCTCCGTGGCCTCCTCTGGCCCCATCGAACAGCTCCGTGTCTCTTCTTCTGTGCTGAGAACACACGGAAGGAAAATAAAAACCCCTCGATCTTTTCCTCTAAAGACAAGCAGGGGAAAAAAAATGAAAAAAAGAAGCGGAAGGGGACCGGCTGCTGCCCGCCCCGAAACCTGGCCATATGTTCCTCTGCTATAAATCACTGCGAGAGGACGCCTCGTGCTCAGGCACAGTTGGTGTGAAATCTGTCCTTCAGGCTGCCGGGGTGATTTAAAAGGGAGTTTGACAACCAGGTTTGCCCCCCGTCTCTCCCAAAACCTTCTCCACCTCTAGGAGAAACGCGGGTCCCCTGCACCTTCCCAACGGAGCCCCGAGCATCCAGCCGTCATTCCTTACGTTATCCCTTCCCCGGGACCATTCCTGCTCCTGCAGGGATGGAAATGCCTTGCATTTCAAGAGTGAAATTTAAAATTCTCCTGGTGGTTGCACACCCGTCGTGACCGCTTGAAGGAGACACCCCCCTGAGATGGGCTTCTCCTCCGTACCATCACCAGGCCGGCTGGAATTAATGGAGCAGCAGAAAAGTGTCCCAAAACTGAGAGCATCCGTGAGATGCAAGTCAGAAAGTCCACAAGAGAGAAGAAAACCATCTCTGATGGTCCCCAGGACACAGGAGTGGAGAGAAACTAAGAAAAAATACTCATGTGAAGCTCATGAGGTTCAAGAAGGTCAAGTGGAAGGTCCTGCACGTGGGTCAGGGAAATCCCAATTCCAATCTCCTCCCAAGGGAGGAGAACGGATGGAGAGCAGCTGCAGGAGAAGGACTTGGGGGTGTTGGTAAATGAGAAGCTCAACGCGAGCTGGCAACGTGCACTGGCAGCCCAGAAGATGTAGATTGAGATGAGACCTGGAGAAGAACTTCTTTGGTGTGAAGGTGGTGAGAACCTGGTCCAGGTTGCCCAGAGCAGCTGTGGCTGCCCCATCCCTGGAGGGGTTCAAGGGCAGGTTGGAGGGGGCTTGGAGCAACCTGGTCTGGTGGGAGGTGTCCCTGCCCATGGTGGGGGGTGGACTAGATGGTCTTTGAAGGCCCCTTCCCACCCAAACCATTCTATGATTCTATGAATCAATGAAACCAAGTTTTCCTGCTCATTCTGGAAACCAGATTTGTTATTTCTGGTGTGATAAAAGCACACAAGAAAATGAGTCCAACTTAGGAGATGATTCACCTGTTTGGATGAAAGATAGAACCACAGAACATCTCGAGATGGTCCTAAACAGACCTGGATTCCCACCTCCAGCCTGAGCGAGCACCTTCTCAAGCCCTATTGTAAAGCCCCTAAATGAGGAAATAATGGAGCAAAACTCTTTTATTACTGATAAAAGAAGCTGAAAAGCCAGGGTACCCTTTTGCACTGGGTTTCCCAAGCATCTCCCCCTTCCCTATCAGCCCCACGTGCAAAATAAAAGTATATTTCTACAATGTAAACTACCCCAAAAAAGTGCCGGAGCAAAGCAGACCAGCCGTTTTTCAAAGACTTTCCACGAGCGCTCTCGGATGAGACGACAAAGGCAATTTTTAAGAAGCGTAGGCAGCAAAGCCTGGGAGCAAAATTGCTCTTTCTCTCTCTTAGGGGGAAAAAAAAAAACCCAGCTGATGTTAAGGATAAACTGAACAATTGCAAGACAGGCCCAAATAACCTTGAAACGTTAAAAAAAAAAAAGCATGACAGAAATAAATGTGGTTGTTTTTTTTTTTTCCCAGTCTGTGGATATAAACTTGGATATTTAACTCTGAGAAATAAATCCAGGGTGTCAATAAATAACAATTTAATTTTTTTGCCTAAAATTGCTCCTTTTACACACGCATCGTGATAAAGGAACATAACGAAACGCGACGCTTTCATCTTTTGACGGCCCTTGGAACCAAAGTTTGTAAAAAGAAACCTGCCCAAAGAGGAAAAAAGAAATCCAACCCCTCCCAGAGCGAATAACCCACCCCCAGAGAGTGACTTGGCAGGTGGAAGAGCATTTGCTGCTTCCCCAGGCTCCTCTGGCAGGAGCAGCAGATTCCTGAGGCTCACACCCTTCGGCACGAAGGCGAACGCCGCGACCACACGGTCAGCTTGGGTGAGGGATCTGCTCCCCCACACTATAAATCTCAGAGATTTATATTCCAGTAGCTTCCCCGAGGTCCCTCCAGGCAAAGGAAGAGGAAACCCCCACGTCCCAACAGCATCGAGGCTGTGGAGAAAAGGAGGAAGGAATTTAAGAGGAGAAGGCAGCAAGTTTTCTGCAACGGGGGAAAATAGTGTGTATTTTCCCCACCCAAAAAAAACCAAAATAAAACACCCAAAAGAGCAAGAGCATCCTCCTCAAAGTCGTCATCCTAATTCTAGACGGGAGATGGGAAGCATCCAGGACAGGAGTTCCAAAAACTCCCCAAAATAAAGACCCTAAAAGAGCAAGAACATCCCCCCAGACCCTGTTCTCAAGGTTGTCATCCTTATTCTAGATGGGACATGGAAAGCAGCACAGGAATTCCAAGAAGCCCCCAAAATAAAGCCCCCAAAAGAGCAAGAGCACCCCCTTCCTCGAAGAACATCCTTCTCAAAGTCTTCATCCTAATTCTAGACAGGAGATGGGAAGCATCCAGGACAGGAGTTCCAAAAACTCCCCAAAAT